CACATTCACACACCATATAATCCAACTTTGGAGAGACGTCCAAACAGACCACATCAGATGAACATTTAAATTGGGTTACAATATCTTCCTGCAGCGTCTCCTTATGAACCGATTCCATATACGCTATTTCAGGATACTTATTTTGCAAAAGATAAGACGCCTGAACAGTTAACAATGTTCCCCCTTGATTAAGTACAGTCTCAAAGAAGTAACGAGGACTATCCGTAAATCTAAGGATGTACTTTCGCAACAGAAACAACAAGATGTCTATAATACTTTGGTTATTCTTTGATAACAATGTAAAAATCCCATGCTTTTTAAGCCATACGAGATCTTCAGCGACTAATGTGCTGTTTAAGCAGGTCTTCGCATACACTATTTCTAAATCTAAAATGTAGGCATCTGCCTGTTTGTCCAGCTTATGTGGCTCTATGCTGACACCTTCGTGTAGCATGTGATGTGTACCATGATACAGCGCGTACCTCTGAGTGGCACTAAATTGTATGTCATGTACACCTTTCCGTTTCAGATTATCAAGTTCGTCAGTACACAGGGGTACAAGTACACGGTGTCCTTGATTTTCATCCATGATGAATTCATGCTCCCCATAATGAGAAACGTCTGTTAACCAGTCTTTAACTGACTTGTGAATGACGTGAAGACAATCATCCCGGATGGGAAGAAGTGCGGAGACACTACTCAAGGCTTTTAGCACTTTACGCCTTGTAAGTGGTGAATCGATACCTGGTACTAATACTTTAGAAACAAAACCCACTGGCAGGGGCTCCCTTGAAGCGGTCATGGCAGACAACAGATTCAGGAAATTTTCTTCCTTTATGTCCAGTTCCTCCAAGAGTTCACGTTCCAAACGTTTGAAATAGGAATGATAGACTGAAGAAATTCCTAATGGTAGACAACCGGAAAGGTCTCCCTCGTGGAAAATTGATTCATTTGCAGTAATCGACAAAAGGGAAAAATAGGCGTACAACATCAGTCCTTCAGATTTCAAAACTAGTCTTTCTACAAACTCATCTACATTCGCTAGTTTGACTACGTGTTGCAGCCTTTTCAGACAAAATACTCTGACATCCTCAAGATTCTCTTCACCATCAGACTTTAGTTCAAGTGGTTTCAAATGTTTTAGTTTCTCTGCAATGTTTAATGCTGGGCGTGTCGTGACAAGAAAATGAATCCAAATAGGAAGCTTACAAAACTGATTTGCAATCACGTCAAGAAGCTCATTTCGTCCTTGATATTCGCTTTCATCCAAGCCGTCTATTACCGTTAGCATGTTTCTTCCTGGATCACCTACAGCACTGAGAGGTTCCTTGAAAAGAAGTGAAAACAACTCCTCCACACCCATGTTGTTCAGATCTGTTCCCAAATTTCTTGATAGCTGTTCCACAAGAGCTTGCTTGTACTCTGGCAGGGCATGGGACAAGTGACAGGCAAGCGACTGAATCATTAACTGAGGTTTAAAGTAGCGTACATTGTTATACTGACAAAAATGGCTTCCAGACAGTCTGCCAGCCTCTTGCATTCTCTTGCAAATAACAGCTGCGATGACAGATTTTCCCATCCCTGCATTTCCACTGATCACCATCACACGGTTTTGAGAGCTTCGGTCATCCAACCAGTTCTGAACTCTGTCAAAGACCCACTCACGGGTCCCTTCTTGAAATCTCTCCACATAATACTCAATGTCTCCTCTGAATTCTGACTTGGTAAGATTTCGAAGGACCTCTTCTGACCTGTCCTTGTCTTTTTCGTCTTTTAAACTCTCCAGTTTTTCGTTTATGTACTTGAGACCTGCCTTAACCTCCTTCACATTCTGACACTGGGCCTGACGAACATCTTCAACTGCTTGATGCGTTTGCCTTTGAACCTGATGTATGTTCTTTAACTGTGACTTGATATCCTCTTCACTGTCAGCCCACTCAATCAACACGTCACTATAATCTTGCTCTCCACCTTTCTCTGCCTTCAACCTATCAACTTCCGCCTGATCGACACCAAGACTCACAAGAACACCACTAATTTCAGTCCACAGAGCAGAGAAAGTTGGTGTATCAACACCAGTGGTTGTCACATGACCATACAAGATATTGCGATAGAACTTAACCCGTGCAAGGTTAGCCTCAAGAGACGTGTCACTTGAGGGTGGTTTAGTATGCCATCCTGAAGGGGGAGGGGTTAGTCCACAAATCTCAGTCAGAAGGAGAAACAAAAGAGTGATGTCAAAGGTGTTGGACTCTGGAGGGACTCCACCAGATGGAAATAGTTTGTCCCACTGATGGCCATTTAAAACTCGACGACGACGGAGATTGTTAAGAATGGGGTAATTAGCATTTAAGTCAATAATCAAGTTTGCAGGAGGATGATGACCATCAAAAATCTTCCTAAGAACTGTTGTTCCACCATCGATGAGAAGCCTGCTGAGCTTGGCTCCATTTGTCTTCTCCACAGAACTGGCCAGGGCTGATGGTGCTGCAGTAGCCATGAATAGTTCTACTAAACGTCCCTACACGTAAGAGAATAATAACACAATATAAACTTTCATATATACCTTTTTTGTTGCGATTTATTATGGTTTTGGGTAATGTAAAGTAGGTTAATGAGTTTAGGACAAAAAAAATTTAAACAGAAACCAGGGGTGAAATTGCACCACACATATTCATATCCAAAGGTACAGTATTCATCATGATAATAATAATAATAATAAGATGGTGAGGTGTGGACCCCAATTCCTATTCTCTCCTCCCTATCCCGCCCATTTTGTTTGGAACACACTGTTTGTCTGCCATTATCACCCTCAGCCGCAGGCACAGAAAGCAAAGTTGCAGATGGCTAGGGATATTTTTCCTGGAGTGATCATGACTCCAGTGTAATCTGTAATGAAAAGAGGCTGGCTAACCCTGCAAACAACAGTTCTTTTTTTCAGTTCAAGACAATATAAATTAAGTTGTAATATCAGTGTTCATATGACAAATTCCAGACTGGATCATTTACATATGTGAAAAATTCTTTGAGTAGGATCTATAGCTAGGAAAGTTCCTGGCGGATCCTGGGGAGGTCCGCCCCCCTTGTTATTTTTAGACCAACCTGAGACCCCAAGGTTAGAAAAAAACTGAAAAAAATTTTTTTGGAGACCTCGCCCCCTGTTTTCTCGGGGTTGGATGACCGCCACTCACCCCAGCCCTCCCCATCTGAAGGTCTGAATCCAGCACTATCCGACTCAGTGTACCATCTGTTGTGATACTTCATCATGACATTTCCATTTTTCTAGATCTAAAGCAGATTACTATGCAGAAATTTGAACAGTAAAACAACACAGATTTCTATTACACTTACATGTATCAACAGAAACTGAACAGGAAAAACCTGGCACATGTATTTCCTACATTTTCCAGACTGGCAAAAGTGGTTGTTGTATGATGGGTTAGTTATTGGTTATTTAGGCTAATCAGGTTCTTAATTTCTTCAAATGAATAATGAACTGTTGACTACCAGACAAATAAATAAAACTGGGTTTGGTCCTTAAACTTACAGTAGTTATTCACAACTGTATGATAAGCCTAACAAGCGAGTGATAATGGACTGTAATGTTCTCTTATCTCTTTTACAAGAGCTATATATTTATAAGTTAATACAGGTTGTTATATCTTTGGGTATAAAGTGGCAAATTTCTGCTTACAGTTATCCTTCCCATGGGTTTTTACTGTACCCTCAGAAACATCTGAAGCCTCAAACGCAGACCTTCTTTTGGATCATCACTCAATCCTCTCCCCAGAATGTCTGCTAAATCGAGCAGTAAATACACGGTAATTTCCTTTAGAGCACGCCCACTCACCAATTTGAGTGTCAAAACTGCCGGGCGAGTGGAAATTGAACAGGTTACTTGCCCGGTTTGGCAAGTGGTATTTTCATCTCCAGGAAATAAACCGAAAATAACTGTCATGGTTTTTTGACAAAATATAATTCAAACGTAAACATACCACTACTCTTTCACATTCTGAAAGCCTCGCACATACAGGCAAACTTCTTGCATCGTGACACATAAAATGCTCCTCTTTAAGTAATTATAACATGAAGTACCTACTCGACAGAAAGATGCTGCAGGTCCTCAACAAACTGTGCCACTGAACTGATGGTGATTTCCACTCAAGAAGAAGTTTACTCCCACAGTAAGAATTAAGGGTAAATTCATCGATTAAACGGATTTTAAAATTACGAAACTTTGGCTATTTCTTTGAAGTTCTTTATTTTTAGCGCATTTTCAATCAACGTGATCGCCAACACCTCTGATGAGACCCTGGAGAATAAAAAGCTGTACTGGCCCATAAAACAAAGCCTGTGTTATTCTCCTGGGACTCATTGATTCAGGTGTACTGTCATCGGTTTTTAAAATGTAGAGACATCTTCCCAAAGTATCTAAAATTCCTGACAAAAGGGCTTGATCAGGGGGTGGGGGGCGGGATAATTTGGCGAGTGACAGTGGATACAGGTAAGTACAAAATTCTGCACGTCACTTGCCAAATCCCAAAATATAGTATCTAACCCTAAAAAATCAGACCTGCGTCACAGCACACTTCCAGATCTGGGAAGTGCACTTTGGACCTTGAGAAATTTCTTGCCAGACTCCAGAAAAGATATCATGAAAGGTGATGAAGACCTTACACTTCTGGAGCAAACTACTCAGTTAACTCACATGCCTTCATGCTAGATGAAAATGCAATCTCATTGAAAAAATTTCCTTCAAGGTTAAAATTAATTTGCTGAACGGAAGTTGGCTCTACTATAAAACAATACAGTGCCAAAAATATTTCTGCCTTTTGTTCAGTTACAACGTATATGTTGTGGTTCAATTTTATCCTTGGTTTAATTTTTATTTTCCTTTGTTTTTGGTCATGGTAATGTATGATAATGAGTTTGAAACAAAGGGAAATAAAAATTAAACCAAGGATAAAATTGAACCACAACATATACATGTATGTACCACCCTTCTGCTGCCTCACCAAAAGAACACAGGTCTTTATAAGTAAATAGCATCTAATCCAGTTCTTGCCTGGAGAAAAACTCTTAACACCCTATCACACTCTACATAAGCCTGTGCGTTGTGTTTGACTCGTCAACACTTAGACTTCAGTTAAACACTGACTGGTTCTCTGATAACCTGCATGTGAGCTCCAGCTGATATTTGCAAACAATGGAAAAGGAATTTAACCACTTGCTTCAGCAGATGTTCGTGGGGCAGGAACGTGTGACAAACCCCTAAGAACATCTGCGTGGGAGGCTAAAAAATCAGTATTGCTCAGACTAGTATTACACAGCTCAGCTCAATTTAAGCCACCTTGATATAACTCCCATGAAAATATTTAACAGGTAGCCTACCAGTATTTAAAACACATATATAAATTAATGAAATCATTAACATACCCTCTGACAACACTTTAGTCGTTTATTTTTCCTTTTATAAATTTGGTCACCTAAAATCAACAAATGACATTAGAACAAATCATTTCCTTCTGTCAATCAAATCACTGGCTATCCCAGGAGTGACCAACATCAATTTTCCCCTAACAATATCAATATGATACATGCAATCAAAAGCAGAAAAGTTTATGAGAATTTATAAACTATAATCATCATCAAAGAGAAAATGCTCAATTGATCTTTTACCAAATTCTCTCAACTTATTTTTTGAAGGAAATGTTGGGAGATCAGTCTGGAGAAATTGTATGTGGATATAGAGCCTTTTTTATTAATTTTTGGCTGTCCTTTTTAAGGGTAACTTCATCCTTTTCAAATATATTTAGCACTTTCCAGTTGTTTCTCCTAGAAACTTATAGCTTACAAAAGAATAAGATTCTTTAAAACCGTCTTACATCACTTTTTTGAGACCCCCTCCCCAAAAAAAAAAGAAAAAATTCAGGGTTCCGCTCTGATCAATATAATATCTGGATTCTATATTAGAGAGGGTAAAATAAGAAATTTTAACAATCATAATAAGCCAAATAAATAAACCTAACAAATCACACATGAACAGTCATCTAGCAATTTTTGGCCTTTCTTATTCCTAAGCTACAAAAAATTTCGTGAAGGGCCCCCTCAGGCATGTTTAGGCATGGGTCACCAAGCCCTCATAATTTGCATAATTTGGCGAAGTGGCATTTGAAATGGATTGTTTTGATCAGTCGTCATTAAACTTGGCAAACAGTTTTAGCTCGGTGGCCTTTAGAATAACAATAATGTGACATATTCATTGTTGAAATATTAGTCACGTGACCTGCAAATGATCGTTAACGTTCAAAGTGTTCAAATTAAAACAAGGGAAAGGAAATGAAAGAGCACCAAATATTCTTAGGCACCAGTGTTTTTCCTATGGCCTGGATATTACGAAATAGCCCTGCATGTATGCCTAAGTGGAGCAAGGATTACGAGATAAAGAAAAACAAGTCATGTGACTTGAAAAAGACTTTAATAACTCTTAATAAAAATGCTTTAATCCACCTTGCAAGGCTAACTGACTATTCAGACAGTTTTGCTGACAATTTGATGACAAGTATTTTTAGACTGAAGTTTAAAAACCTTGCCCCATTTGAGAAAACAGGTTTTGTGACGTCATGGTCCAAGGAATGTCACGTGATGCTTGGGATGAATTTTCCACCACTATTTTAGCGAGATATGTCTTATCATATCTTTGTGGAACCCTTAACTTGGATCCTTCTGCGTCATTAAAAAGGCTCTTTGCATTCTCTGTGGGGGTTCTTTTTAGCCTTTCAACCCATGCCTTAACTTGCATGCACCTGATTGCAGCATTTTGCCTGGGGTGTTAAAGTAGGTGAGCGGAAATTAAAGTTTGCCAAATACCATAACAGCAAATCCTCAAGCCCCAAAGAGCAAACACTACACTGTATGCTTACACTGCTTCTAAGTCTTACAAATTAAAACAACTAAAAAAGTAGGTCATGGAAAAATGAAAGAGCAAATTACAAAATTTAGAAAGAATAATACCTGTGGAATTTCAGTCACAGACATCATTAGATTCTTACTTTTCAGTTAAGGCACAGCTCAGTTGATTCAAATAACTGCTTACGATGAACATGATCAAAATCTGATAATTAAAAATACATGTAAAAGGTTGATTTTATTAACAACTATCTAGAGGTATGTACATCAACAAATAAATGTTGCTAGTAATCAAGAACAACTTTACTGACACTGACTGACTGATCACTAATAGCCTGGCGTTTGGTGAGGGTGGGGTAAGAGGGGAGCACTACAATTTTCTTAGGATATATGGTACATGAGTCACAACAGACCCCCTCCCCAGCTGCCTGCTTCATCCTTTTGCTTTATAGTCACCCTACTGATTGCACTTTTCAATTCTCCCAGAGATCTTGCTGTGCTTTCAAATTTTCAAAGAAGGTGATTGTCAAAAAATTAAATCCTAAGTGCCTGTTTCCCCAACAATTTGAAGGCTTGACTGACAATAGTATA